AATATAGCCATTGCTGCTGACATGGCATTAAATCATAAATAAATACCCAATGGTCTGAAATATCCTGACACTTTCATCTTTTGTTGTTAACAGCATTTTGTGGAGATAACAGACGACCAGTTCGACTTCCACACATACTGTATGCGGAAGATGACGTTGCGTTCTTACGTCGATTTGCTCAATCTAGAGGACGTGTTGCGTATGCACCCTTTTTACTTCAAGGCAGCACGTACAGCCATCGAGATCTACCTCAGCCTTCATGATAACCCGCTCTCCGATGACAACAAGGAGTCGCAGGCCGACAATGGTAGAGTCATGCACACAAACCATATTCAAACTTTAGAGGTCCATCCTTGCTTTTTGGAAAAAATATATAGTTTTGTTTTCTTAACAATTTTTTATTCTGTAGCCAACCTAACGGACAAGGAGCTGAAGAAATTGCGCAACAAACAGAGACGTGCCCAAAAGAAAGCCCAGTTAGAGGAGGAAAAGAAGAATGCTGAAAAAGAAAAACAGCTAAAGAACCAAAAGAAGAAAAAGGAAGAGGATGAGGAGGAGATTGGAGGACCTAAAGAGGAGCTCATACCAGAAAAACTGGCCAAGGTGTGTATGTTGACAAAGCCATTTGTACTTTACAGGATAAAATATTTTGATTCTGTTCATCAGAATGGTGCTGTTTCTGTCTGTAGGTGGAGAATCCTCTAGAAGAAGCGGTTAAGTTCCTGACTCCACTCAAGAACTTAGTAAAGAATAAAATAGACACGCATCTGCTGGCCTTTGAGATCTACCTCAGGAAAGGTGAGCATACTGATGAACTTGAACATAGTGATTCATAATGTTTCAGGATGTGGGATTTAAAACTCATAATTTGTGTTTGTAGAGAAGTATCTATTGATGCTGCAGTCGGTGAAGAGAGCTTACTCATTGGACCCCGATCACCCCTGGCTCCACCAGTGTTTGGTGCGATTCTTCAAAGGAGGTACATAAAGGCACATATCGTTTCCTCACATGGGACAAAAAAGATACAGGAACAATAAGATCTGTGTCTGTTTTCAGTGTCGGATAGTAAGGACATGCCGGAGGCAGTGCAGACGGTTCTGAAGCAGGAGATCACAAAACTGTTTGGCGAGAGTGACCCCAAGACTTTCAACAAGAACTCCCTGAGCAAACATGCGAACTCAATACCACACAGAGTTGCAGGTACCCACTTTATGATGTTAAAGAACTTTTGAAAACCACTATAGACTCTTC